AAAGCCACAGAATACCTGATACCTTGATAAGAAAATACAAGAAAATCGAATGGAATGGAATAGATTAAAGTTATCGCTGTGAAACAGGGTGAAATTTCATCCGGGTGGCCCGAGAAAGCATCGTCCATAGCAACGGCGTTGCTATGGACGGCGGAGTGATACGCACTGCAAAGAAAACTCGTTCGAAATGCGTTCGATCATAGTAGTGGCGTGCCGGCTGGTGAAACCCATAATTGAATGACCTTTCCTTTGATAGAATTGATGTTCGGATCAGTAATTTTAGGTTCCACCCATGGCCAATTAAGCAAGAATACGTCACCTAATTTAGCCTCCAAATCAGGAATCTAGGCGGTTTTTCTTCGCTAATCATGAGCTATTTCTGGTTTTGTATCAGTTTGTATTGTGGTGGGTTTCTAAACGTCTTTACGCTAGATGACTGTTAAAACTCCGGTACAATCAGGACTAGTGTACAATCGGAAAACAGCACAGGATAAGCCAAAGGGCTCGCCAAGCAAGAAGCCTGCCTGCGGAGGCTATAAATGTTTTGGGCGGTCCCGAAGTTTCGGCTAGTGGTCAGTCTTACTCTCGACATCGGTAGGGTACGTGGTTTCAGGTAAGTCTGTTTCCCTTCGTAATTCTGAAGCAACTTTATGTGTGAATCACGGGTTTTCTTAAACAATATCCAAGCAAATTTAGGCAAGGTAAGGTACTCTCAACTTGGCTGGATAGGTATACGGCCCGGCCAACTTAATAATGCCGTCCCCCCGAAAAGATTTGCTTGGAGATGACTTTAGTACACGCCTGTGTGCCGTCTGTTGACAGGTTGTTTGTAAAAAAGTTCCCTATTTGTGTTTGGCATGCCATGGGGCTTATTTTGTTCATACTACAGTCAAACCTGTCTATAGTGGTCACTCAAGGGACTGGCCAAATTTGACCACTATAGACAAGTGACCACTATAGAGAGATAGCAGATTTTTTAAAAAGTGACATATGCTTTCAGTACCAACAGTACTTTATTCTCAAGCATATGATTATGAAAACATTCATTGCAAAAGTAAAGCAATAGATGTACATGTTATGGCTCATGTAATTTATTGTTCTTTTGCTTTAGTTTTGGGCTTGAAAAAAATAAATACAGAAATATAATTTTGCAAGGAAACATGATGATAGTCATAATATCAATGATGCACTCAACATACTCGGTTGATCTATTAGGACTGAAACCTTTCACACTAAAACATAAAAAAATCACTGGTTGTCATTTACTGTTCTTGTGTACGTGTTACCTAAAGAAAGAAAGCAAAATCAATCAACAAATTTTCTGTCGACTCCAAACAAATTTTCTACAGACTGCAAGCTCCTTCGACGATTTCTTCCCACTCTCTCTGTCAGTCGGATAACCTTGTGGAATAAGTTCGGCGTCTGTCTCTCGGCTTTCGCCATCGTTATCTCCGAAATCGCTACGTTACTATTAGTAAGTTGAAAAGTGGAAGAGTTTACACGGCATCGCCATGTTTTTTTTTCTGAGTGCTTCGCGCGACCGTCATACGCCACAGCGAATTCCAACCACGTAAACAAGTTATTTTGTACCAAGATGCTCTTCATTTGTTAACAGCAAAATAGTTGTTCGTCAGTTGCCAGTTATTTTCTGTTTTCGGTCGTTTTTGAACATGAAAACGTAGCGAAAATTTCCTATGTTTACAGCGGCTTGTTTTTACTCCCCGCGTGGGTTTTCTGCCTCTGCCATTATGCCAATGTGGTAGTCAACAACAAATTTGCCCCTCTCAGGCTTATATATTTAGTAAAATATCAACTACAGCCTTAAATTTACATCGTACATTATTTGTAGTAATGAATGTCAAATGTTTTTATGATGTAATTACTCGATTTGACGCTATAAAATTAAATAAAAGTCGGTAAAGCTCCCTCCAAAAAGTGGAGTCTTCCCTATTGACCTCTATCTGCTCTCCATACCCTATTGACCTCTATCTGCTGCTAGCCCGCGCCATCTTGGAAAAAGACGAAAGCATTTTCTAAGCCCAAATTTATTGAATTATGCCCATGAAAAACGGAGATTGGGCACATATTTATACATTTCAAGGAATCGTAAAACCATATCAATGTATATCAATGTGAGTACGGATGTGCCCTGTTGGTGGCCTCTTTAAAAACCAGTCCATCCACATGCCATCTCATGGGTAGGGGAACGCCATTACACGCGCATGACCCACGCAGGTTAGGATACCATTTAAATCTCACGAACATGCAAATTAAGCTTATGCAAATATGACGTGTAGCTACCAAAATGTCTATCTAGGAGGACTTTGTGAGAAAAAGCAGGAGAACGTAAGAGAATGGAGGAGATTATGGGAAAAAGCAGAAAAAAATGTAGGAGAAAGTAGGAAAACGTGGGAGAAATCAGTAGATCACGAGAGAAAGCAGGAGATCACAAGAGAAAGCAGGAGATCACAGGAGATCGCAGCAGAAAGCAAGAGATCGTAGGAGAAAGCAGGAGAAAGCAGGAGATTGCAGGAGAAAGCAGGAGATTGTTGGAGAAAGCAGGAGATTGCAGGAGAGAGCAGGAGATTGAAGGAAAAAAGAGGAGATTCAAGGAAAAAGCAGTAGATTGCAGGAAAAAGTAGGGGATTGCAGGAGAAAGCAGGAGATTGTTGGAGAAAGAAGGAGATTGCAGGAGAAAGCAGGGGATTGTGGAGATAGCAGGAGATTGCAGGGGAAAGCAGGAGATTGCAGGAGAGAGCAGGGGATTGCAGGAGAAAGCAGGAGATTGTTGGAGAAAGCAGGAGATTGTAGGAGAAAGCAGGAGATTGCAGGAGAAAGAAGGAGATTGAAGGAGAAAGCAGGAGATTGCAGGAGAAAGCAGGAGATTGCAGGAGAAAGCAGGAGATTGTTGGAAAAAGCAGGAGATTGTTGGAGAAAGCAGGAGATTGCAGGAGACAGCAGGAGATTGCAGGACGGAAAGCAGGAGATTGCAGGAGAGAGCAGGAGATTGCAGGAGAAAGCAGGAGATTGCAGGAGAGAGCAGGGGATTGCAGGAGAGAGCAGGAGATTGCAGGAGAGAGCAGTAGATTGCAGGAGAGAGCAGGAGATTGAAGGAAAAAAGAGGAGATTGAAGGAAAAAGCAGTAGATTGCAGGAGAAGGCAGGAGATTGAAGGAAAAAAGAGGAGATTGAAGGAAAAAGCAGTAGATTGCAGGAGAAGGCAGGAGATTGAAGGAAAAAAGAGGAGATTGAAGGAAAAAGCAGTAGATCGCAGGAGAAAGCAGGGGATTGCAGGAGAAAGCAGGAGATTGTAGGAGAAGGCAGGAGATTGCACGAGAAAGAAGGAGATTGAAGGAGAAAGCAGGAGATTGTTGGAGAAAGCAGGAGATTGCCGGAGAAAGCAGGAGATTGTTGGAGAAAGCAGGAGATTGTTGGAGAAAGCAGGAGATTGCAGGAGAAATCAGGAGATTGCAGGAGAAAGCAGGAGATTGCAGGAGAGAGCAGGAGATTGCAGGAGAGAGCAGGGGATTGCAGGAGAGAGCAGGAGATTGCAGGAGAGAGCAGGGGATTGCAGGAGAAAGCAGGAGATTGCAGGAGAAAGCAGGAGATTGCAGGAGAAAGCAGGAGATTGCAGGAGAAAGCAGGAGATCGCAGGAGAAGGCAGGAGATTGCAGGAGAAAGCAGGAGATTGTAGGAGAAAGCAAGAGATTGTTGGAGAAAGCAGGAGATTGCCGGAGAAAGCAGGAGATTGTTGGAGAAAGCAGGAGATTGTTGGAGAAAGCAGGAGATTGCAGGAGAAATCAGGAGATTGCAGGAGAAAGCAGGAGATTGCAGGAGAAAGCAGGGGATTGCAGGAGAAAGCAGGGGATTGCAGGAGAAAGCAGGAGATTGCAGGAGAAGGCAGGAGATTGCAGGAGAAAGCAGGAGATTGTAGGAGAAAGCAGGAGATTGTTGGAGAAAGCAGGAGATTGCAGGAGAAAGCAGGAGATTTCAGGAGAAGGCAGGAGATTGTTGGAGAAAGCAGGAGATTGTTGGAGAAAGCAGGAGATTGTTGGAGAAAGCAGGAGATTGCAGGAGAGAGCAGGGGATTGCAGGAGAAAGCAGATTGCAGGAGAAAGCAGGAGATTAATATTGCTGGAGAAAGCAGGAGATTGCAGGAGAAAGCAGGGCATTGCAGGAGAAACAAGAGTTCCACGATCTCATACCTTCGCCAAATGATGATAACCCTTGCGGGTGACGAATTATACAATTTTAATCATTGATTTTGTAAAAAAAGAGCCTCATTTGCATGGATTATATCAATTGATCATATTCTCCATCCAATGACAGCCTTATCGTAACAAAAAAGGAGCACTTCCTCATAAATTATGCAATTGAGGTCATAATTTGAATAAATTATGTTTATTGATGTTCACCTTCACTTAACTTCCAAATGTGGCAAGTATGAAATTCGGGGTGCAGCAGTTACAACTATGGAATTATAAGAATTTGCCATTGATTATGCAAATTAGGTCCTCATTTACATAATCTATATCCTCAGATGTTTTTCTCGTTCTCAAGTAGATGTCACAAGTGTCTCATAGTTCTATTATCGAACAAAGCAGATTTATAGAATTTCCTCATTAATTATGCAAATTAGCTCCTGATTTGCATAATTGCCATCTAATTATGTCAAGCATCACTTCAACTACCTACATACCAAAAATCACGACAATACGTCAACCAGTTCTTGAGTTATCGTCCTTCAAATTTTTTCCAACAAATGCTCCTGCAGTTCCAGAACAAGGCGCTAGGGGACCCAAACTCATGTCACTTCTTTCCTACCCCAAGAGCTATATAGTCCGGTTGCCAAACCCCCGATTTTTGGAGAACCTTGCAATGCGGTCCATACAAAGTTTTTTTGTTGTTTCTATATCTCTGAGGTGTGCTCTTTCAGAATCTGAATGATGCCACTCTGTCATCCTTGGGCAATTCGCACAATATGCAAATTAAGGTGGCCATTACTGAAAATCCAGTTTTCGTCAATATCTCAGTAACTACTCATGGTATCAGAATAATTTTGGTGTCTATCCCCATCTTTTGAGGGATAACGAATTAAATCAAGCCATTTCAGTAAAGATAGAACCACTACTTTTCGCTAAATATGCAAATTTGGGCCGCGCAATATGCAAATTAGGGCGGCCATTACTGAAAATCTGTTTTTCGTCAATATCTCAGTAACTACTCATGGTATCAGAATAATTTTTGTGTCTATCCCCATGTTTTGAGGGATAACAAATTAAATTAAGCCATTTCAGTAAAGATAGAACCATTATTTTTGCTACATATGCAAATTTGGGCCTTGTCTGTTATTGACGCACCTGGCTGCCAGCAAGGAGGGGTCCTAATTCCGACCCATGTTCCATGTAAACGCACATGCCTTGGTATAGTTTATCTGACCCAAAACCTGTTCAATATTGAAAGACAATTCTAAGTTTACTTATAAGTCTAGATGGCAGACGTCTTGTAGCATGAAACGCCGCTTGCGTATGATTGTAGACACTGGCTGTTGGTTAGCTCTGGCTCATATATCTGTGTTGGGTATGAAGTCCTGTCGTCTGATGCTTAAGATCTTCCTCATGCATTCACTATCAGAAGCATCCAGTGATTCCAGTCTCTTTTCTTGGCTGATTTCCACATAGTAGGTTCAAAGTCAAGCTGGTTGAAAGGCTGCTGAGGCCTTTCCAAGTCTACAGTCTAGCTCATTGTCCATCTGTCCTTTGTTGTTGATGGAGCTCCCAAGGTAGGTGAAGTTCTCCGCCACTTTCAATTTGTTCTCGTCAATGGTCACACTTCTAAGAGGAGCGTGTGTCCCTATCAGCATGTTAATTGCTTTTGGCCCTGATGCTGAGCCCAATGCTGTCTGCAGACGGACTATATGTTGGTCACTAGGGGTTGGAGATCTCTGGTGTTTTCCGCTATGTCGCAGTGTCGTCTGCAAAGTCAAGGTCGGCAAACTTTGTCTCTGGAACCCACTTTACCCCCGGCCCTTTTCTCCTGTTGCTTCCCAAGTACACAGTCGATAGCCACGGGAAAGAGGATCTGTGACAGGACACAACCTTGGAGGATCCGTCTTCAAACCACCCGCTGTATCTAGATTCCTTCAACCGTCCGTACACAACACTTCGAGTTTCAGTATATCTGTTTAACTGTATACATAAGTTTACTTGGCAGTCCATAACTGTACATGATAAAGAGGGACTTTAGATGCTATCAAACGCCTTGCAGAAATCAATGAATCTGATAGCTAAAGGGGTTTGCAGTTCAGCACATTTCCTCCACCGCAGGGTGAAGATCTGCTCAGCATAGGATCTCTTTGAGCGAAAGCTAGCTTGTTGCTCGCAGCTCCCAGAGGACCTTGCCTACTGCATCTCTCATGCGGTTCAGGAGGCATTTGGCATACACCTTCACTGGTATAAAAAAGAATTGTCACTCCCCTTAAGTTATCACATTCATTCAGGTTTCCCTTCTTTGGAATACACGCTTTAAGCCTATGTCACAATTCAAGAAAGGGGCCTGCTCGGCGCGTTTTCGGCCTGTGTTTTGGCACTACCGAATTCGGAACGGGACCTGGAAGGCAATAGGCGGGGTTCCCGACGGCTGCCAGCCTATTTTTGGCCCCGCGACGTCGCCAAATTGATTTGACTCAAACTTAAAATCGCTTCAGGCCCCGCGGGCAAGGTACGCCGAAGCGACCCGTAACCTCACCGGACCAAACCGTAACCTAGCCGCCGGGTCACGCACAGACACCTGTCCAAGATTTTGAAGTCACGTGTGTTGTTCTGTGCTAGAATTGTTCAGAAGAAGGTGTTATAGACAATATAGAGGATACTGTGCTGTTCTCGACATTAAGGCGTACCAGCCTGGGACCTGCCAGGATCGCCCCTTGACCCCGCCAGGGACCCTGTAGCTGAAGAGCTAGTCGGCACCCTATCGCATCACGCACAGGTCTGACAGAAGACTGACTGGGCACCGGACGGGTCCCTAACAGAAACCGGTCGTCAAGGGGACCAAAATTTTTTTAATTTACATAGAAGCCGCCTCAGCGCCCCGACAGGGACCCTGACAGCCGGCGTACGCTCGGCTTCATGACGCCGGCCAGCGTCTACACCGAGAACATGCCGAGCAGGTCCCGTTTCAAATGTGACTCCAGCTTAACTACTGATCCGTTCTTCCAGTCCTCCAGCACTTCCCTGTGATCGCCGTTGAATGCCTGCTTTATTCCAAGGAAGGCGTACTAGGGAAGATGGTTATGGTTCTATTAAAGCGTTTGCGATGTATGGCGATCAGAAAAGCATCCATCTCACAACACAGTCACCCTCGGCTTTAAGCATCTCTGAAGTGATGCCATTCATGCCTGGTGACTGACTTCAGCTTCGGAGATGTCCTCGATCTCAACAGGTAATGGGTGTAGGTGTTCATCAAAGACTAATGCTACTGAGGTAGGGCTTGAGCGGTTTAAGACTTTTTAGAAAGTATTCTGCCCACCTGGCAAGCTTGTCCTCCCCTAAGACAGTGGTAGGGTCCCATCCTTCGCCTTAATTAGGACTGTGCACTTTTGAGCGGCCGCCGGTCATCTTTTTGGAGATCTGTTAAGCTTTGGTCCCAATTGTAAAAAAAAGTCCCTGGCGGGTAGTTCCCGGATGTTTTTGACACTTTCAGGCGTGGGACACCCCGCGGCTACCGGGCTATTTTTTTGGCCTGTCCGGGAATCAAGAAGAATTCAACTCTGACTTAAATTCTACACGGGCCACGCTGACATAAAATTCAGGACGTCAAGTTAGTGCTTTATTCTGCCTGTACACAGACGCTGGTAAGGCACAGGTGTGGGCTTATGAAGGGTCTAATATATTTTTTTAACAGATTGTATCATTTATCATTCCTATCAGTGTTCAGAGGTACAGGCGCCCATGCTATATACTGGTTAGTTTTTGCATAATTTGCATTAAATGTTGGTGTGATTAATACTGGGATGGTTTATTCTGATTATCTAGCCTTCAAAACATGTGTATAGTACAAATGTATGTGTATTGTATCAAAATTATTGTTGATACCATGAGATTTATTGAGATATTGACGAAAAACATATTTTCAGTAATGGCGGCCTAAATTTGCAAATTAAGCACAAAAATATCTATTTGATCTCCACTGAAATGGCCTTATGCTCAATAGTTATTCCAAAAAAACGTGGGGAAAGACACCAAAGATATTATAATACCATATGTAGTTAACGTTACTGAGATATTGACGGAAAACAGATTTTCAGTAATGGCCACCTTGATTTGCCTATTGTGCGGCTTTAATTTGCATATTTCAGCACAAAAAAAAACTGGTTTTATCTTTACTGAAATGGCTTAATTCCATTCGTTATCCCTCAAAAGATGGGGATAGACACCAAAATTATTCTGATACCATGAGATTGTAGGAGAAAACAGGAGATTGCAGGAGAACCGTCGAACGTCTCGAACCACTATGTTGGTTCGTCGCGCGGGCGTTCGGACGGGCACTCTCACGGGCCGCACGTGCTGAACGGCCCTGGGCGGGGTGGACGACTCTCGGACTAGTCCGAACCGGGAACATTTTTACAGAGGTAGTATGAATGCATTTCTTATCCAAGTATGTTGTTTACATTAATGTTCTCAAAATTCATTCATAAAACCTGATCACTTTCCGACAACTAGCGATAGAGCGCCGTGCGTTCAAGCGCGTAAAAAACGTAACTGTTTGCCGGGGCGTGCCCCGTCTTAGTGCCTGGTTTAATGCCACGGTGTTTCAGTGTTTCCTTCAGTGTTTGGTAGGTTCGATGGTTAAAGCAATGTAGAAGCCATTTATACTGAGTGCCATGCCATAGTTTAGTCTTTGTGGTATTCGATAAATACAGCACTTAAATAAGATGACTTCACAATAAATTCACATTCATATTGTCATATACATACCAGTAGCGTAGTGCATTAAGTCACTGCCATCACATGAAAATTTCAAATCAAATCAAATCAAATCTTTATTAAATATCAACATGGCAGACGTGCCGAAGTACTTCGGGCACGTCTGAATTGCACTGACATTTTACAATTATACATCATACAAACATCATCACAATAGATTAAAAACATCATCATCATTTAAAAATCAACATCAAGAACACGTAGGTTAAAATAGTACAATTTCAGTTTAAAATACAATATATATATATACATGTCCAATACACATCACAAGTCTTTTACGGCTCTCACAATGAAGGAGTTTTTGTGTCTGTCCGATCGGCTTAATGGGAGCTTAAACTGATTGCTGTTCTTCCTAAGATTGTATACAGTGTTCTCTCTTGGTGGGATAAAGTCATTGCAGGGGTTGGTGGGGTCTTGTAGAATCCGTTTTAGTTCTCTCAGTGATGCCTCCCTCCTCCTGGACTCGAGAGTGGGCAAGTATCCATGGGGAACTCCGCAAATCCTGAGGCACAGCTTCTGAACTCTTTCCACCTCGTCTGTATCTTTCTGGAATTTGGATGCATTAAAATATGACGTTACATTCTAAGGAACAGTGTCATGTGAGTAAAATCAGCACACATTTGATGAGAAATTTTGTAGAGGGTGTAGCGACAAAACATGATAACACAACCACTAGATCTTTCATTTTTGTATTCAACAGAATTACATCTACTTCTAAATACACATTTGCCCTTCAAGTTTGCTGCATCCCTGATAGTCTCTGATCCAAAAGACGTAAAAAACGACATATGTACCCATTCTTGCCAGATTGACCACCGTCAAAGGGCAACAATTTTTTTTCTTCCAAAATCAGGCAAAAATTAATGCACTCCCTGATGACCTCTATATTGGTTGTAGTCACTATTCATCAGTCTTCCTCCAATTCCGCCCCAGCCAGCTTTTTTACCAGGCCGGGCCTCAATCATGCCACTAAACAATGTTCCTTTTACCATAGTCATGGCACTTCTACTTGAAGCAGGCACAATTCAACTTTTTTTAAAGCATGCACATTTCAAACAGCAATTTAGTTTTATTCTTGCAACAGCTTTACCGGAGCACAATATGCAAGTTCTTCCAAATACGCCCCGGCCAGCTTTTCTTAAAAGCTTTTCTTGTTTATGTAATGCTTCAATACTGTTTGGCATTTTCAATGAATACAAATACAACTATGCAGGTCGTAACAGTCACCATGTCCACGGACCACAAGCTGAGGCAGCGAATTAGATGTGAGTACACATATTCAAAATCGGGTCAGCCAATCAAATAGACTCTATCCAATTCTAAATTTTCTTTAAAATAAAGTAACGCTTTTTCTTCGTTCATCATGAAAACGTTGAAGTGCAGACTTTTGTATTCCCAGACCGTCATGTAGAGAAGATATATATGGACCTTAAAGAGGTGGGTACATTTATGATTTTATGGGCGGCCATTTATGTATCATCTGAAGGCCTGCTTAGAAATCAGCTTTGATAAGATGAAGGGCTAGGGGTGACTTAGTCGTCTTAAGTTGAAATAACGAATAAATAAATGATATCATACGTTGGTTATTAATTATCTTGTAGTCTTGTGGAAATAGTCTACTTGATTGGTTCATTTTGTAAATACGCAATGTTTTACCTGTACGTCAAACCTTGCGAACCCTACGTAATCCATGTGCTCTAATTTTGTCCAGCTTGGTTACCATGACAACGACCCTCTGGAGGTGACTGACCTGATGACGTTGGACCAGTGGCACTACTTCGGCACGGAGCCTGTAGACGCCATCATCAAGCTATTGGACATCAGGTACAGTTGTCTCTGCCAGGCCAATTACTCTGCTGGCAATAGCGGGTAATATTTGCCAGGGGAGTTTGGTCACCATTGAGTTCAATTCCCCAAAGATTTAGCCTTACCGTGAGCTCAATCCTCTGGCCTAATTCACCCTTTTTGTGCCAAATTCTACTATCATAACCCTCTAGGAAGGCTTGGTGGAGCATGGACACCAGGTGAAGTCCCTGTCACACGTTTAGGACCTTTCCAGGACTTTGCTCCCGACCATTCCCCAACCAAGGTCGGCGCTGGGTTGGGAGTAGCCTGGAACATATCCTATTTTAAACTCCTCTAGATTGGATCGCATCCAAGCACAATGTGACTGATTTTTTCAAAACTCACAGACATAGTCCTCTGGCGCAAACTGATTTTTTTAAAGTAGGCAACTTCACTGAGAAACTCACAATGACCTAGGTCATCCCTTAACCATTGTCTGGAAATGGTAGAGAAGGCCATGGTCGGCAGTGTGTAATAAACTGACTGAAAAGTACTTAACCATTTGTTTGATTGAGTTGTCAGACGATTGTCAATATTACATTTTTTGTTCTATCAAACAGCGAAGGTGCGCGGGTACTGGACGTGGGGGCCGGCATTGGGGGTCCGTCTCGATACCTCGCCCACAAAACCAAGTGTCACGTGACGGCCGCCGAACTCCTTCCCGACAACCACCGCGTGGGGCAGGACCTGACGTCACGCTGTGGCATGACGGGAAGCGTGAAGCACGTGTGCGGTGACATCATCAAGACTGAGCTGGGTACATGCTATATCGTGTTGTTTTCTGGTTGTCTCTTTTCAAATCTCCTAGACCCAATTATGGCAAGTTAAAACTTCCATATATTCTGTATGATATACATCATAGAAGGTGCTTTATAATGGTTTATCTTAAAAGTAAGAAGGTTTTGTATAGCGCTGTGTTTTTCTCTGATATGTAATGAAATGTTGATTTTTATTTGCCATTATCAAAGATATACATGTACAATGTTATGTACTGATTGTACAAATCAGTGTTATTCAGTTTGGTTTACATGCTGCGTGGATGATTTTCTGAATAAAACTGTTAAAACTGTTAAAAACATAACTCTGTAACCAACAAATACTGGGGAAAAGGTGATGCCATCAACGATGTCTTAAGAATGACTTAAATACCTGGATATCTAAAGTGTGCATACCTCTTGAATTACTGATGCTGCACTTGGTACATCCCTCAGCTTTACGCCATGTTATGCGGCAGTAGCAGACCAGATCAAACACTAACTCTTAATTCCGGCGCCAAAACAGACTGAGATACACACTTGTTAAAAGTACAGGGACAATTACTTTTTCTTTAATGATAAATCTATACGTGTACAGTGGTCCATACGCCCCATTTCATGGCCCCGGAATAACTTTTAGACATAGGAGCACCGTACCAACCGAAGTCTAGCAAAGAGCTAGGCACATCACAAAAAAAAACATTTTCCTGTCGACGTAATCTGGTTAGGTTCCCAGCTATGACCCCTACCTGAGGGCCAATAGTGCGTTCACATGGTTAACAAGAAAAAAATACATGACACAAACTGTACATGCATTTTCTACCTGGAAGTTAAAGTTGAAGTAAGTAAACCTAAGGAATTACTGTCCGACTAATGTATCAAAATCTAAATCTGAACCTAAGGAATTACTGTCGCTAATATATCAAAATCTAAATCTTAAACCATTTCCCTAACCAAATCACATCTTAACAGAGCTAAAACAGACAAAATGTTTTCAACCAGTTAATAGCCAGGGCTTGAAGTACTGGGTGCATGTGCACCTTAGTACATCCAAATTCGGAGCTGTGCAACCACCCGCCGTTTCTTTTCTGTGGGTGCACCGGTGCAACCCAATACTTCTGTAGGTTTACATAATGTAAAGATGCTAAATGTATTATAGAATATAGCATATTATTAACATCTAAGTGTAAGAAAAGTAATAAAATCATTGTTATAGTACTTTTCTTTGGAAATGATAATTAGTTTTTGCTGAGTTTCTCAGTAATTTTTTTATCTTTAAATGGTGCACCCAAGAAAATTTTTGTGCACCCAATTTTTGACGTTTGGTGCACCAGTGCACTTATTCCCAAACATGAACTTTGAGCCCTGATAGCGTAAAAACATCCCTTAACGGGGGTGCCCTAACATCGGAGGCTTTTTGATGCGATTGAACGCACGGTGCTCTATCGCTAGTTGTCGGAAAGTGGTCAGACCGAGAGATGGCATATCTGTGGTGTCTTGCTCTGTGAAAACACTTTTGAACTGTGAACTGAGTGCTTCTGCTTTTTTCCACTGATAATGGTATTTCTCACCTTTAGGGGTGCTACCCCGACAAGGTCTTTCCTCAGTCCTGGTTAACAACATCATTTGACGAAGGTATGAGGTCGTGGAACTCTCCTTTGCATATCAATCAATAGTTCTTGCTTATAAACTTGCCATTCTCCTGCGGTCCGTTAGTGTCACTGACGAAAGGTTGTGAATGCTACCTGAAACGTCTGTCCGTTTCCAAAATCATATCCAGTTGGTCGATTAACTGTTTTTTGGCATATCTTATTACTTGGATGTCTAACCTTCACCGTCTTAAATATAACGTTAATTTTCTACATAAATTTTTCAAATTGCACCAAAAATGTTTGCCAATGTGCAATTTTGCATGTACCTGAAAAAAGGTATTATGGAGCCCTGCATCAGTACCTAGTCTTTGAGATTTCCTATCAATCTAGAAATACCCAATTTTTTTAAATTTTTTTTATTCATATATCAAAAACAATAAACATACAATGTAGTGAACCATCCCTTACATAATACTAATCATAATGATGAAATAATAACAATAATAATACAACTCATATCTGATCATAATAATAACTGATCATAATAAGTGATCATAATAATAAATGGTCATGATAATAAGTGATCAAAATAATAAGTGATCATGATAATAAGTGATCATGATAATAACTGATCATGATAATAACTGATCATAATAATAACTGATCATAATAATAACTGATCATAATAATAACTGAACATAATAATTGATCAAATAATAATGATCATAATAACTGATCCATCTGATAACTGATCCATCTGATAATAATCTGATAATAATCTGATAAAAAAATAACTGATCATAATAATAACAACAATAATCATAGTAATGACAATAATAATGCAACTGATCATAATAATAACTGATCATTATAATAACAATAATCATAATAATCACTGATCATAATAATTTGTCATAATTCAAATAATAACATTGATAATGAAAACACTCAAGAGCATAATAAAGTACCCCATTTGCCACGATGCTTCTGCAGATTTCCCATTCTTGCAGCAATAGAATATTCTACCGTATGAAAGAAATTTACATAATTAAGAAAAGATTGAAAAGTAACATGGTTGGCCTTTCTGCTTTTATAAATGCATCTTTTACCTAATAAAATTACAAGGTTACCTATAACAGGGGCTTCTGAATTTAAGTTACCAAAAATGATATACAATAACCTATTTATTGGTAAAAATTTATGAACAATTTTATATTGAAAAAACCTTGTTGTTGGGTCAATGGTACAATGTATGATGGAAGTGACTAGTCTCCAGGGGATTGGGGTGTCAAAGAGGTACAGCCATGACATCTGAACATTATGCGAACAATCTATCAAATTATAGGAACTTAAAAAGAATTTATACATGCTTTTATTTATCTTAATTTTTCTAAGCCAGGTATTATCACATTGGGTAGGTATACATACTAAAAGGGATGAAGAACCAAGCAATGTAGATTTCCATTTTGGGGGGATTGCAGTATATAGCTGCAAATACTGCATGTGGCTACAAACATTATCATATTTAATACAAAATTCATCATATGACATGAGGGAACCATCTAAATTTAAAACATCATTTATAAACAGAATTCTTCAAAAAGCATTTGAAAAGAAAGGTTTTCCACCAATAAGGATATTAGAATTCATACATAAAAGCTGTTGTCTAATCTCAGCTGGAGTTGTGGGTGCCTCCTGTTGATATTTATATCAAGCATATACAACATCATGTAATAAAGAATTTAGTTTCAGGTACTGTAAGCTATCCAACTGGAGAAAGGGAAATAATGTATATCCAACAGAAAGATATGTACCTAAAGACCAGGAGGTAAACCAATCAGAATTAAAATATAATTTTGGCATCCACGAAGCTTTGATGGTGAGGGAAAAGGCATGTAAATTAATCAAATTCAAACCACCATTTTCAATTGAGTTATAAATTGTTTTCCTACTGACCCTTTCTGGACCACCATTCCAAATAAAGGATAATATTTTTCTCTCATAAATTTTAAAAAAGGATTTACTTGGGGAGGGGAGCACCTGGAAAAGATTAGTAAACTGGGAAACAATCAAACAATTTATGACAGTAATTTTTCCAAACAAAGATTAACTTCTTCCTTTCCAGGGGAATCTAAAATCTATCTAATTTTGCTAAACGGGGTTCAAAATTACAGTTAATAATGGTGTCCAAATCCTTAGGTATATGTATGCCTAAAAGGTCTACCTCCCCATCTACCCATTGAATAGGAAGACGGGAAGGTAGTTTAAAATTCGTGTTTTTTAAAGAACCAATTTTAAGTATCTTACACTTGTCGAAATTTAAAAACAGACCCGAAAGATGGGAAAAACTTTGTAAATCATCAATAAGGCCACACCAATTTAATTTCTTGGTTAACGGATTTTTCTAGAAAAATAATGGAGCGGGCGGGCGAAAAAAATAAAATAAAAAGCAGGCCTAGGCATCCTATTATAGCCCTAAATGGTACGATAGGAGCCATGAAGTCAACACACCAAGCTGGTTCAAAATTTAAATAATGAATTTTGAACTTTTAATGATAGCATTGCATTGAAAGATTTAATAACTGTAACAACTAGGATAAAAAGGACTGTTTTCAACTGTTCAGGGCAAAATATGAGCATTTTACAGTTGATTCTGAATTTTTATTTTTATTTGCAAATCAGAAAAAAATGAAGTGGGCGAATCCGTTAACCAAGAAATTAAATTGGTGTGGCCTAAGGGCATTAAAGGATGCTAATTTGGGGGCAAAGGGGAAATTAGTATCATCAGCATGTTGAGAAATTTTACAGTGCCTTCCATGAATAGATAAACCAGTCAGGTTTTGATTGCTGCGTATCTTAATGGCCAACAGTTCTACAACAATAATAAATAAATAGGGGCTTAGGGGACAACCTTGTCTAACACCACGATATAAAGTAAGAGGATTTGATAAGTAGCCATTGTTTGACACAACGCTCGTAATATTAGAGTACAAAGTTTTAACCCAAGCTATAAACTTGGGGCCAAAGTTGAAAAATTCTAATGCTTTTACCATGAAATCCCACCACTGAATCAAATGCTTTCTGATAATCAGCAATAAAAACCAGACCTGGTTTACCCTGGTTTATCTTCATTTTTCATAATGATCAATTAAATCTAATATACATCTAATATTATCTCCAATAGATCTTCCTTTAATAAAACCTGTTTGATCATTATGAATAATGTCAGAGATATCGATAACAGACTTTACACGTAAAGCTAAACATTTAAAAATAATTCTTGTATCACAACATAATAATGTGAGGGGCCTCCAATTACTCAAAAGTGTAGGATCTTTGTATTCCTCGTTGCTCCCTTGTTTTAATAATAAAGAAATTATTCCTTGTCTTTGTGTATCTGATAAGTAGCC